TTTTGCTCCCAAACCATGCATAATCTCCCCCAAACATGAAAATATTTTCATCCCATCCCCAGAAACATCTTAGAACTCAGAACTGTCAGATCAAAGAAGAGGACCATGCAGTCCTCCAGATGTAGTTAGACTCATCAGTCTTAACCAATGTTGCCAACTGTGAAGATGATGGGAGTTGTAATTCCACAACATCTGGTGGGCCACCCATTCCCTACTAAAAGTCAGTATGATATGTAATGCTTAGTAAAGTGGGAGATTGTAGGGAAAAAAGGAAGTCCACATTCCAGATGGATAGACTCAATCAAGGATGCCATGGCTCTGAATATGCAAGACCTGTGCAGGGCAGTTGAAGATGGGTGGGGGGACGACTTGGAGGACTCTCATTTATAGGTCCAAGATAAATCAAAGTTGACTTGATAGCAATTAACAACAACAGTAACAATGATATAATAGTGATAGTGTTGGACTTTGGTGGCGAACCATTAGGTTCAAATTAATTCGTACCTCCACAGGTACTGTAAGTGGTACTCTCTGGTTGTGAAGATGAGGAGATGAGTGAAGTTCTCACAACATTGGTGGTTGTTGTTGTGTGCCTTCAATTTGACTCAGACCTATGGTGACCCTATTGTAGTGTTTCCTTGGCAAGGTTTCTTCAAAGGAGATTTGTGATTGCCCCCCCAAAGTGTGTGACTTGCCCAAGGTCACCTGTGCAGGTGTGTGTGTGTGTTTCATCAAACCTTGGTCTCCCAGAGTTCTAGTCCAACATTCAGACAACTATACCACACTGACTCACTAAATGTGGCTGATGGGGATTTAACATTTGCAATAGGTCTCCTTTTCTTTTCCTTTGGAAAAAGAAAGAGGTTGGGAAAGCTACCTTTTCAAAGTATAATTCTCTGAATCATGCCTGTGCTGGTTGGGGTACTGTGGTGGTTTGTCCAGAAAAATAATCCAAAAAGCTCACCTGGTTTTGCTACCTAGGAAAAGTGCTGGCAGCAGCCTTCTTAATGCTGTTTGGTGCCATTTTGATCCACCATGCTTCAGCTGGATGCTACACCACAACATTGCATCCTGCATCTTCTAGTCTTCTAGTCCAACACCCACTATCCCATGCTGGCTCCCATTAGCCTGTAGTACAGCCTAGAGTTAGACACTCTAAGCCAGGGGTAGGCAACCTTTTTGAGCCGGGGGCCAGGTTGC